TCCGGTACTAACCTGTAAAGGTGGCGCCTTGTTGCACGTACATCGAAGACGAAGCTGGAGCTATGGCGCCACAGGTAAGTTTCCCTGGCCTCTGCCAACCATCTCTCTCTCTCTCTCTCTGACGCTATTCTACCTCCTACTAGCGCCCAGCGCTCAAGACTACTGCTAACGCTACTACTACTACTGCAGCGCTCCTCCAGAGTGCTGCTGCCGAATCCTGAAGACTAACTCCTAACTCCTGCACGTGAAGTGCCTGGGAAGTTCCTATGAACTGCCTCGTGACGACCTGCAGCCTGCAGGGCGGACCAGTCTTATATAGTGCTGGCCCGTCCAGGACGCTGCTCTTGCCAATGCCAAAACGTGCCAGACCCTGGTGTTGAAGTTCAAATGAAATGGTATTCACCAGTTAGCAGATCCCTGGGTTTGATCCCTAGAACCCCAACCTTACCTGTGTACAATACCTGTGTCGACCCGTGGAATTGAGCCCGCGACCTGTGTATTTGTAATAGCTGATAGGTTGTCGCAGGGTCCATAGGTAGCATGGGTTCGATCTGTAGACCTCTCGGATAGGAGTCTTAGTCAGGTCTAGACACCGTAGCTGTAGTGTTCTCGAAAGGTCAAGGTTGTAGCTGCTATAGTCCAGAAGGGTCAGAGTCGTAGCTGCTACAGTCACGAAAGGCCAAGTCTACGGCCTTCCGGAAGGTTCCAGTAGTGGCCTTTCGTGAGTTGCCCACATTTAAGCAGAGGCAAGTGGTCAAGTGGTGAGGCAACTGGGCAAGTGGGGGAAGTCTACCCTGCTGAGTCAACAGTCCCAGTCCCCAGTCAGTCGAGCAAGTACCGCACGGGACTGTGTGCACTTGGGGCAAGGGAAATGGGCCAGACCAACGACCTGCAGAAGTATAAATCAAGAGGCAGCGCCCAGCCATTCATTCATTCCGGCGTGAGCCATGCGGAAGCGCTGCCACAGCGACTTGTGCAAGGAGGTCTGCATTGAGCCCGGAGGACGCAGTGGGCGAGAAAGGAGGAATTAGCATAGCGATAGCTTAGAGGCAGCCATAGCTGCCATAGCTGTAGTTTGTGGGAAGAGTGTGTGTGCATGTGTGAGTGTTCAAAGTGACCTGTGTGGGATATCCAGGGTGATCCAGTGTGTCAACAGTGAGTTGTTTGGGCGCTAAGTCCCCATAGACAGTTGAAAGAGAACTCGTATCTGGAAGCCATATCTCTGAGTTTTGAGTGGGCGCATGTCGCCAGTGTGCTGTGCTGCTGTTTACATACATGAAAAGTGTGGATAAGACGAGTCTGATTGCATTGGTATCGGAGCTGGTACCCGCTATTCCATGCGCGCCGTCGTATGCAGGACCTGATACGCCATAGCAGAGGTGGCCGCCGAAGGTGGTAGTCCGCCATAGCGGACCTGAGGTGGACGAAGCCGCCGCACACCTGCAAGAAGACAACGACGAAGAAAAAGACTGAGAGAGAGAGAGAGAGTGAGGTTGAGCGATACATTTTGGGTTACTACGTACCTGCTGCGCTGAAGATACCGCTACGGCTAGAGAGAGAGAGAGAGAGAGAGAGAGAGAGAGAGAGAGAGAGAGAGATGAGCGATACAAGTTTGGTTGTCACTTACCTGTGAAGCGAGTTGCGCAGTCCACGAAGGAGAAGACAGCGGCCATAGCCGCGAAGCTTGCACCACGGAGTGACGAGTAGGGGGAGAGAAGGACAGAGGGGGAGAGACCGAGAAGAGAGAGAAGCGGCCATAGCCAAGAGGTGAAGAGGAGGCCGACCAAAAAAAAAAAAAAAAGAAAGAGAAGAAGAAGACAGCGGGGTGAAAGGAGGCCAGGAAGGTGAAGAAGAAGACGAGGGTTGGCGAGGAAGACGAGCCGGCAGCCATCGCTGACCGGAGGGTTGACCAAGAGGTTGACCGAAGGTGTTGACCGGCGACTACCAGAGTTGACCGGGGGTCATAGCAGCATTGACGGGCGTTGACCAAGGCGTTGACCAAGACTTTGACCAAGTTGGAGTTGGTAACATCTCGCCAAGCCCTCAGCCTATCCCTTGCCCTGTGGATGTGCACATACCCCTCGGTACTTGCTGAGTCAAGTCAGTCAGTCTATTCTTTTTGCATCGAGTCTCTTCTCTCCTAGGTGATAGTACTCTGTGGATGAAGGATAGAGCCTGCTGACCACTCCCCTACTGGTGCTAGTAGGGCTGAGACTGTGGCTGATCCAACTTTCCAGGGGGGCATAACCCTCCCAAGGACCGGTGCTGACCGGCTGGAAACGGTTGGTAGGGCACAGTGGGCCTGAAAGACTGAGTTGCGGGCTGAAACACAGGCAGTCTTTAAGTGTTGAGGGCCTGTTTGAACCACTCCCCTACCGGACCAAGTAAGGCTGAGGATCTGTGTCTGACGACTCGACTGTCCCGGCGGATACGAACCCTCGGCAGGCTGCTCGGTGTGGCACAGTAGGCCGGAAAGGCTTAGTTGTGGGCTGAAAGCACGGGCAGAACCAAGCTGATCACGTCGTCCTGTCTGCGACGTTAAAGAATTCTTGCGGAGTTACGGGGGATCTCCTTAAATGCCTCCAGATCAGTCACTGGTTCGGTAGTGACAGCCATAGTTAGGTCTAGGCTAGAGACCATAGCGGGCAGGATCCCTGTCACGATTTTGTGAGTCCTAGATCGAGTCAATAGGTTTATCAGTCAGGGGTTAGAGTCTACGTTGTGAGGAGTGGAATCATTCTGATTGTGCACCTATCACCATGGTGGACCTACGTAGTGGGAAAAGCACTAGCCCCTACACCCAGGAGCAACAAGAGAAGATGGCCGCCTTAGTCAAGGAGAACAGGGAGAGAAAAGAGCTAGAGAAACAAGCGAAGCTAAAAGCTATCGTAGACGAGGCGAAGATGAAAGAGTTAGAAGAGGAGATGGAGAAAAAGAAGAAGGCTGCTGAAGAAGAAGCGGCGGCAGAAGAAGAGAAGGAGAGAATGAGAATTGAGAGCAGAGAAGGGAGCAGTGGCACGAAGGAGGATAAAGATGCAGAGATGGAAAAGAAAATAAGTGAGTGGGTTGCTAATTTATCGTCGGGTGAAGATGAGGAGGCACAGATGTATGTGCCACAGGAAGAGAAGGAGGCATTTGGCAAGGCCCTCGCAATGATTGAGGACCCCCTTGAACGTCAAGAAGCCGAGGAGAAGAAGAGATTGGAATGGAAATTGAGAATGAAGAGGGAAAAGAAGAAGAAAAGGGAGGAAGCCACCAGGTTGACCGCAAAAGTCGAAAAGGTGCGGACGTGTAGACAGGAAGTCCAGGCACAAACAAATGTTTCTGCCAAACTGGACAAGATGTTGGGGTACTTAGAGGTGTTGAGTGAGGCCTGGCTAGAGGAACGACATGCCAATCAGGGCCAAGACATCACCATGAAAGCCATGCGGTCAGGGTTTAGAGAGTTTGCGCGCGAGATCGTCACCCACATTGGGGGCGAAGTCAGGCAACTGAGGGATAATGTGGGGAAGTATTGCGAAGGCGCCATTGAGGGTGCCAAGGCCATAGCTGTTGTGGAAGGCCAGGGCGGACCCCGTAAAGAACCTGTAAAGCTCAAGTTCCCAGACGCGTACAGGGGAAAGGAGGAGGAGAACTTTGACAACTGGGAGGCCGGTGTCAATAGTTACATCTATTTGCAGCATATCCTCACAGAGGAGCAAGTCCTCGTGGCCTTTCAAGCTCTCAACGATGAAGCAGCTAGTTTCTCCAGGTCTCTTGCACGCGCAACCGGTTGTGAAAACAACCTGGTTGCATACTCAAAAGTCACCCCCCTTCCTCAATTCCTTAAGCTCCTGAAGGAGCGATTTGCTGACCCAACGAGAGGCGTTCGCGCCTCTGACAAACTGCAAACGATCCACTCACGGCAGTGGAGGAGTGCAAGGGCACTCAAGGGTACCATGAACGACTTGGTAGCCGTCCTGAACCACGGGGTTACTGAACCCCAACTGGTCCAGCTGTTTTATCGTGCCATGCCAGAGCCCCTGAGGGGGCACTTCTTTGACAAGTCTCAACAGGCCGGGATCACATATGATGTGTTGAGTAGGGAGGTGGTCCTGTATGAGTCAAAGTCTATGCTAGTCACCACTTTCTGGCATAAAGACCTAGAGAAGGGRAAGAAGTGGAAGGATCGTACCATCTCAGGCCAAGTCAAGGCCAAGGATSACTTGATCCTRACGTTAGAGGAGGGTGGTACTGATGAGGTCCCATATGAACAGATTGAGTGGGGCCTAGGGGACGAGGACAGTAGTGTAGGGCAGGGGAGGTCCTATGCTGTTGTCSCGGCTGGAGGGAAGCCGCAAGGTAGAGGAGGAGGCCAGGGCCAAAGGGGCCAGGCCATGGGAGGCCGAGGACCGGGCGCACAGGGGGTTGGCGGCCAAGGAAACCGCCAAGCGGGAGGTAGGGGTTAAGGTCCCCCGCCAAATCGGCAGGGTAATCGGTCTCAAGGAGGTTGGCACCCAGGCTTGCCACAGAGAAGGCCCTGGGAAGACTTGGGCTTGGACCAGCGGTTATGGCAGGAACGCGTGAACCTGAGTCAGTGCGTGTTTTGTGGTGACCCGGCCTACGTAATAAAATTTTGTCCAAAGTATAGACAGGCCCGTTGGGCTGCCCAGCAGTCAAAAGGCGGCCGCCAATAGGGGTCGCATCTGCCCCTACTTCAAGGCCATGTGGAGAAGTGAGCGCGCGCGAACAGGACACTCCCAACCCACATGAGCCTATGGCAGAGGTTGCAGGCCCGTGCCTAGCTAGCTGTCCAGAGACAGCCTGTGTTAGCGTCTCTTTAGGCACGTCCCTCACAGGTGTGGCAAAAGAGTTAAAGGAGAGGATGCCAGCCTGGGCCAAGATGAAGAAAGAGAGTAAAGGACAACTGATCTTAATAGATGTAGAAGTTTTCAGGAATAGAGTAGGGGGCCTTATAGATTTAGGGGCCACCCGCAGTTATATTAGCCGTATGGCGCTAAAGAAGTTGAAGCTAGGACTAAAAGTCCAGAAATTAGCAGACCCGATAGTCAGTGTCCTCGCAGACAACCGCACGATGCGAGTTGAGGACTATGTAGAGGGAGTCCAGGCATACTTTCGCCCAGAGAAAGATGGGAAGGTCGAGAAAGTTTTCCATTGCTTGACTCTCCTCGTACATAATGACCTTCCTTTTGATGTAGTGTTAGGAATGGACTGGGGAGAGGCAGCAGGGGCCACACTTCATTTGAGAAAGCATGAGTGTAGGCTCCCTAGCCCGTCAGGCGAGGTTAAGACTGCCCGCCTGTTTCATGTGTCAGGTTTAGACAACACCTTGGCACATTGTTGTCTCAGTGCTCCCGTGTTCGCGCGATAGTAAAGAAGGAGCGATTAGAAGAGCAGGTCTTTGTAGTCTATGTTCGACCTGTCGCTGAGGGCCAGAAAATGGATAGTTCCACAGATCCAACCATTGCCAAGTTGCTGGAAGAGTTCAAAGATTTAACTGAGTCGCCGACAGGAGTAGTGTCGCGACTCATCCAGCACAGGATAGAGATAGAGCCTGGCAGTAGAACCCCTAAGGGTGCAGTCTAYAGGATGTCCCCTAGAGAGTTAGAGGAGCTTYGCAAGCAATTAGACGAGCTCCTCGAAAAAGGTTGGATCAGGCCCAGTTCGTCTCCTTTTGGAGCACCTGTTTTGTTTGTCCCCAAGAAGGAAGGAGAGCTGAGAATGTGTATAGACTATAGGGGTTTGAACGCGATTACTGTGAAGAATGCTGAGCTACTGCCCAGGATAGACGATCTTCTAGATCGGGTGCAGGGTTGTAATAGACTATAGGGGTTTGAACGCGATTACTGTGAAGAATGCTGAGCCACTGCCCAGGATAGACGATCTTCTAGATCGGGTGCAGGGTTGTAAGTATTTCACTAAGATTGATTTGAAGTCCGGTTACCATCAGATAGAAGTCCATCCTGATGATCAGTACAAGACTGTTTTCTGGACTCGATACGGGCATCATGAGTTCATAGTGATGCCCTTTGGACTAACCAACGCGCCAGCTACATTTCAGCGTTGCATGAATGATCTGTTTAGACCCTCGTTGGATAGGTTTGTCGTAGTCTATTTAGATGGGTCATCTGAGGCAGGTCTTGGAAAAGCTACGAGAGGCTAACTTCAAGATCAACGCGAAGAAGTGTGAGTGGGCCAAGACACAAGTCTTGTACTTCGGCCACGTATTAGATGGAGATGGCATTAAGCCAGAGGACAGTAAGATAGAGGCGATTAGAGATTGGTCGACGCCCCGCACCTTGACAGAGTTGCGGTTGTTCCTAGGCCTAGCTAACTACTACAGGAAGTTCGTGAGGAACTTCTCCACTATCGCCGCTCCCTTGCGCAGATTGCTGAAGAAAGAGGCAATCTGGCGATCGGACAAAGACTGTATGTCTGCGCTCAAGAAGTTAAAGCGCGCGTTAATAGAGTACCCTGTCCTCAAAGTTGTAGATCCGTCTTTGCCATGTGTCGTCACCACGGACGCGAGTCAGTATGGGATAGGCGCCGTGTTACAGCAAGACAACAGCAATGGCTATAGACCCGTAAAGTTCATGTCAGCGAGGATGCCCTGTGAGAAGGTCACTACCTCCACGTACGAGAGAGAACTCTACGCTCTCAGGCAGACCTTAGACCATTGGAAGCACTACCTGCTTGGGAGGCACTTCAAAGTGTATTCGGACCATGAAACTCTTAGATGGTTAAAGACTCAGGCCAAGATGACACCTAAGTTGACTAGGTGGGCCGCAGAGATAGACCAATTCGACTTTGAGTTCAAGCCAGTGAAGGGCAAGTTTGCGGATGCTCTGAGTAGGAGATCAGACTACTTTGGAGCTGTAGTACACTATCTGGATATAGGGGGAGACCTGCAGGAGAAAGTGAAGCAAGCGTATGCACAGGACCCTATTTATAGCGACCTCCTAAAGAGAGTTAGGGAGGCCCCAGAGACTGAACCAGATTACCGCACCACAGATGGGTTGTTGTTTGAGAAGACTGATGTGTTCGACCGCCTGTGCGTTCCCAGCAACGAAGAGATTCGTAGTCTAATCCTAGGGGAATGCCATGATACAGAGGGACATTTGGGTTGGCAAAAGACTCTAGCCAAATTGATGCGTGCGTATACCTGGCCAGGAATGAAGAACGATTGCATCGAGTATGTCCGCAGTTGTAAAGTATGCCGGCGTAAGAAGACTACTACACGCGCACCCCTCGGTCTTCTCAGACCCTTGCCTATTCCGGATCAGCCGGGCGACTCAGTGTCCATAGACTTCATGGACACCCAAGTCAAGAGCAGACATGGTAAGAGCCATGTCATGGTCRTAGTTGACCGCTTTAGTAAATAYGCAGTCTTGTTCCTTTGCCTTCAGAGGCACGTACAGACGTAGTGATACAKAAATTCTTTGACTTTTGGGTTAGTGAGAATGGAATCCCATYGTCMATAGTCAGCGATAGAGATAGTCGCTTTACCAGCCAGAACTSGCAAGAACTCATGAGAGTGTACGGATCCAAGTTGTTAATGTCATCTGGCCCAGAGACCAACGGCCAGACAGAACAGATGAACAAGATCCTACAACAAGTTCTGCGCATGTACATTAGACCAGATCAGATCAACTGGGATGARATCTTGCCTAAGGTAGCTAGTGCCTACAACAACAGCGTACATCTATCCACCTGCCGCACTCCCAATGAGCTGCACAAGTCCTTTAGACCGCGCAGACCGTTCGAAGGACTGAACCGGGATCAGATTCACAGACTACCGCCCGGTACCAGGGAATTCGCGGTACAACACGAGAGAGAATTATCCGTGCCAATCAAACATTCCGCTGTAACCCACGGCATTCACCACGACAGCTTCACCACCATCAGCAACCAATTTGGCAGCTTCACCGCGACAATCAAACATTCCGCTGTAACCCACGGCATACACTGCCGTCATTAGCCTTCCGGTGCACCCCTCTCTACCCAGGGCGTGCACCTAGTGTAGCCTGACGTCACAAGTACCCACTCCGAAGAAGCATCATCAACGCACCAAGTCTGTATAACGCCAGCATGCCAAAGGTAAGTGGCGATCAAACCAGCTCCGATACCAAATCACAAGGAACATGAGTATGGACGAAGCACAGAAATCCAGAATGCAAAATCACATTGAAGTCCAAGTAGTCAAAGCCAAAGCAGATAGCACATGGAACCGAGTAACCATCCAATTGAGATTGATACAGAAGAATCGTGAGTCAATGTTCATGCCCAACCGGGCAACACCAACAGCATATCCCAAATGTAGCTCTCTCTTGTGAATGGCGCCAGGCGCCCTATCTACTCTACAGCTATCCTACAACTAAGCAATGAAAAGCAACTAGACAACTTGACTACCAGCGAGTGATGATGTCAACACCAATGCCGTCCTCCACCATCACCAGGTACATGTCATCTTCCCCACTCTCTCCCTTGTCACCCACAAAGCGCCCTTCACCTCCGAAGTACCACCTTCGCCCTTCACCTCCCTGCGCACACAGGCAGCCCGGCTATGGCCGCCAGCGCCCTGCGCTCACAGGCATCGCCCTACCGCCTAGCGCTGTCCTGCTCCACTCAGCCTTAGCGCAGCGCAGCATGCATGCAACGCAGCAGTGTGCCGGCCTTGCTCGCAATGGCCAAGATCCATGCCCACTCGCCCTGCTTGCCTATATGCCAGTGCTGGGTGTGGGCGGCCTCCCTTCAGCCTGCGTCTGGGCCTCAGTGGCTGAACGCAGGCCCGATACAGTTGAGGCCCAGGCAATGCAGTTGCACCTCTTTCATCAAGGCCTGCGGCCAGGTTCAGACAGTGGGCCAATTTCCCTTTGGCATTTTCGGCCTCTCTACCCAGCATGCATTGTCGACCTCACATTCAGACGCCCAGGGCCTAACTAACTCGGAGGCCCTGGGCTTTCAGCATTTGCTGAAATCCGAGACTCGGTGCACTCCAACCAACTGGCGTGCTGCAACTGTATGGACCCCACTTCGTGAAATGTTGCACAGAGGGCTCTTGTTGAATTGCTGACCCGCCTTCACTTAGGGCGGGCACGAGGCTTGCTGGGGCCTTAGCCCAGAACATGTACATCATGGCAAGGCCCCTACTTGAGGGCTCAATCCTCACACTGTCTTTCCCCCACAACTCCCATCTTCCCCCTCCTTTCCCTCCATCTTCCTTTCCACCCCCAATCCCCACCTCCTGGGTGAGGACAGCATGCACAGAGCAGTCTGCAGGTTCAGGGAGTCTGCCCGGGCTCAGCCTGCAGTGTGCATGCTGTCGCAGGCTGTCATCCCCAGCACCCAGGCCAACACTCCCTACCCAAAAGAGACAAAAAATTAGGGACACCGGATCTGGGCAGTACTTGGCAGGTGCAGAAATGCCCCACCAGCCATCTCTCTGTGTTTGTGGGCAAAACATTTGATAATGGCAGGCAGGGAATATGGGACAGATTGCCATAAAGCAGAGTCGCACAAGCATTTGGCTTCCAGCTCACAGCTCATCACTTTTCGTGCTTTCACACACACACACACACACACAC